AACTGTTAACAGAAATTGGCAGGAAAAGGAGGAAATGTTTTGAATGCTTTACTGTTGACTGTAACATTCAATGTCATCTCCTGCATCCCCAGTACCAACTTTTGTAGCATCTTAAGTAGCTTACCTGTGCTAAGAAAGTGGCACCACCCCACCCCACCCCCCAAAAAACCAGTCCACCTTTCTGTTGATGCATGGTTGTCAGTTTTTCATAGTATTCTTGGTCCTGAACAAACAAATGCTTTCATAGAGTTCTTTCTGTTGTGGTTCATCAGTACCACATGTTGTTACCCCGTAAATGGAAGAGTACTAAACGAATGGCAACTTTTATCCAAAATTCTGATTTATGCCACTGTGTTTTCCTATTGTCAAGAAGGCTGATGTGTTTGCTTTTGTGCTGTTTATACCATGTAAATAGGAGATCACATTAATAGGAGCTCATATTTTAGCCAGAGTGTAAATTAGCCATTCCCATCTTTAGGTATCATTAAGTGTAAGTCCCAGTCTCCCTGCATATATACAGGTAGTTTGGAAGCTGACTGACACATACTGAAGTTTATTAGCTTATACTTCCACTGTTTATTTTTTTAAAAAGGCTTTTGTATTAGCTTTGCCGTAGAGTCGTGTTGCAGCATAACTCCCTCAACCTCTTCATGTAGCAAAAGACATTGTTTGTGTACTTTTCAAGTTCTGCTGCAGAAACAATATGACCCAAATATTTAATCAGGCTTAGCAGAATTGGCTTTTTTATGGCTGCAGATTAATCTAATTTCTCTGAGATAATGCATGTGGCGTGTATGTCTTGAAGACCTTACTTTTTCTGAATAATATTGAAGATTTATAGTCGTCTTAAAATCTGGCATGCACTGAGAGATTATGAATAACAATTACTTAAATATTAGCATTGGGAATTTATTTTCTTTTGAATCCTGCGTATGTTGCTTCAGAGTATATTGAATTTATGGAGTGGTTAGTGGATACTGTGTATTAACTGACTGCTCTTCTACACCATACTCAATTTGTTTCATTTCTGCATTGTTAAAAAAAAAAAAAGGCATTGGCTTGGTTCCATTAGTTTGTCTTTGTATTTAATATGAAAACTTCAGTTGACTTGAGTGTAGAAAATACCCACTTTCTGGTTTAAATAAATAAGGATGTAAGTGGCTTTGCATGTTTTCCTTGGTGCTCGTCTTGCTTAAGAAAATGTATCTTGTTCAACGCTGAAAAGAGTTAAACTCAAGTTCAGAGCTATGGGGTTCTTCTCAGCAAGGCAAAAGTCCTGAGTGTTTCATGGAAGGTCCCCTGAGGACTGCCAGACCCTCAGGGAGACCCAGGAAAGCTGCAGGAAGCCACTGGTTCATGCGAGGTGAGACTCTGCCATCCCAGGGGCAGCAGGTCAGGTCGGAGCTAAGCTGCAGCTCCTCAGGGTCTTTGATATCAAATTCCAATACATATATGAAAACCTCATTAGTGTTTTTTTTTTTTTAGTATAGTCTGAAGATGCTTCTGTTTAGCCTGAAGTACATGTTGAGGGTTTCTAAGGAAGAGAAGCCTTTGTTATCCTGTGTCTTTCCCCCTCTCATTTTTTGCCACATTTGCCCAGCAGTAATGAAGCTTCCTCCCTGCCACCTCCTTGCCTCTAGGCGAGATTACAAAATGCTGGGATCAGGGGAGGAAATCTTTTCACAGTTGCCAGAAACTTGAGTAGAAAGAAGGTAGTAGTAGGTAGTTCACAGGTCTGTCCACAGGCAGGTTCTCAGTGCTGTCTTTTATAGCATGAAATTATTTTAGGTATGTTTTTATTCAAATAAGATGCTGCCTTTGCTGTTCACGAATGAGCCTTTTCTGTGTTGGTTTTACTGTTTAGTTACCAGAACTCAAAACATTGGTTGGATGTTTTTACTCTTTATAAGAAGGAGATAGTCTATTCTTCTTCTGGAGAAGTACTTTTAGTAAAAAGTATGAGCTGAAGTTCTGTTCTCAGAGTAAACAAAAGATATAAGTAATATGCATGTGTGCGCACGCACACACACACACACACAAATATATGCATATATACGCACACACACACACATATATGCATATATACGCACACGCCCCGTCTACCATATATAATCATCTTAATTTCCTGTAATGTCTTTCTTTTCAAACTCTTTGGTCCTGTATTGTAGTTAAAGATTGCCTTTTGCTGTAAAGGAAAAGTAGTATGCCCGGTGAAACGTACTGGAACCAAAAATTTCAGTAATATTTAACTATAGCTGTAATAGCTGCTGGAACATTAATTTCTGGCAAACAAAGTCTTGTTTCAAACTCAAGATCCATGATTGTACGTATCTACCGAATGAGATAAGCCTTGTTTTTATTCAGATTTAGTTCAGGATATTTAATAGCGGAGATGCTCCCTCTGTGACTCAGTGTAAGCTATCCTGGATTGGGATTGGGTTGCTGTTGGCATCAATTTAAAATCACACCTTTGAGTAAACAAGTTCAACTCTCAGTAATGAGGGCAAGGCCAGCCCTATATTTAAACCGTGGAAGGGAGGTGGCAGAGCGGAGGCTGCAGCGGGGACAGGCAGGATACACCGAGCGTGACCGATCACGCCACTTCTGGGTGCCTTCTCCTTTCGTCGGGTACTCTTCTTGTCCTCATCACCACGCTCCTGGGATCAAGTCTGCCTCTGAGACTTAGTATCTGTGAGAGGACTGAGAAGAGTCCTGATCAATTAAGCATAAAAAGATAAATGATAATGGAGGGCTTTTTCAGTTTGTTGATAAAAGCCAGACAAGATCAAGGAGACCTGGGAGGAGACCTATTCAAATGGGGAATAAGCTACAATTTCCTAGCAACGAGGGTGGTAAAACATTAGAGCAACTTACGAATGCTAGTAGTGGACTCATTTGCATCTTCAAAGCAGCATCCTGCTAAAAGATGCTCTTTTAATCTAGTTCTGGAAAAAATTCTGCCACCTCTGGGTAGCTGGAAGAGCAGGCTCATATGTTGAGGGTTCCCCCCTGGTTCAGGGGTCTGTAAATACCATTATGTGTCCCCTCCATCCACAGCCTGTGGAGTGAAGGGACAGCTCACCCAGCTCATAGTCTGCTGATAACGTTTACAGCTGCAGTCACAAAAGTCCTTGTGGCTTCAGAAATTGCCTCCTTGCAGCTGCTTCCTCTTCTGAAAATTAGTATTTCTGCAAATGAACTGCCAAAAAGAATTGTGTATTTCTCAAGTTTCAGAGCAATGGTAAGTAATTATTTTAACCCTGGAGTGAAAGCTATTTAAAGTAAGCCAAACAAAGACAGTCGCTGTGATAAAGTCTTGGGCTTAGAGCTTCACTGATTGCATCCAGGATGAGGCAATAGCGGGTCTCTTTGCTGTCCTGCTCTTTGTCCAGGGTAGAGAAATGATTTGATCTCCTGAAGGAGTATTGTGGCCCCACCTATGTCCAGTAGAGGCTTTACAGTGGATAACGCCTGCAAAATGGAGACAGTTGAGGTAAATAACTTACCGGTCAAGTTTTAACCTACAAAACTATGAAATGGCAGTTTCTGGATTTGGTGAGGGGGTTACAGACTAGAGCCCAGATTCTTGCTGCTTCACTCCAAAGTCATGGGAAGAGGCTACGTTTCAAGAATCACTTCCGCTCTCCACAATGGTAACTTCTTTGCCCTTAGCAAGCTTAACTACCTTAGCTCTCCAGCTGTATGTCCGTAGTGAAGAGAGACCCAGACTGATCTCTCTGCTTAGAGCATCGCTCTGCTGCCTTGTTTCTGTGGCAGATGTCTCACCCCGTGTTTTTTAGGAAGGCGCAGTCTAAGTCTGAGATACTCTGGAAAGGGAGGATCCAAGAGTGGCTTTTCCCGAGCAGAAGAGGGTTTAAAACATAATCCATTAAATGACAATAAAAATATTTCAATAAGCAAGTTTCTACCAAGCATGCGGAGCGCTTTTCAATGTTTGTGATGTACCAGATTTTGAAAGCTTTCCTGACTAAAAGAGATTTCTTCACTGATTGCTTTTTATCAGAAATATTAGTCTGTTTAGGGTACTTTCTGGAGGGTTTGCCACCGTCAGTCCTCTGGGTAGAGTTCCTCACGTGAACTGAGCTACCACCCATGCGTACTGTACACTACTTTATTATGCGATGAAGCATTTTCTCTACAGAACTCATAATAATGTACTTGTGGGGTTATATGATGTATGTGCCTTGCCTGTGGTAGACTGCATCACTGTTTAACTATTAACTGCCCTGATTAGTTTGCTCCCCATTACACTGTGAGTGGGAGGGAGGACGTTCTGTGTGTCAGTGGCGCAGGCAGTATGGTGTCTTACTCAAGAGCGTTCAATGTTAGTTAGGATGAAAGTTAAATATTTTCATGATTACTCCAGAGTTTTCCCATGAAGACGATGGTAAAAGCTTTTTCAAGAAAGAGGTGACCAGGTCTTAAGTGTGTAACTCTGTTGTGATTAAGCACAATGTTTTAAGAACTCGAATTAACTACTGGGACAGTCTGCTTGTGGGATTGAAGGTTACAGAGCATTTCACAATAATCAGTAATTCTATATGATTTTTTTTTCCCCCTGAAGTGAGATGTCAGACTTCCATGAGTCAGTTGCATTTTGTGAATACTCCCAATTTTTAATGGGAAACTTTGTAAACCAGACTCGTACATTCATCTTTCCACGGCAAATTGAGAGAGGTAAAAATGCATCTAAATAATATCAAAAACAGAAAAAGCCCAATTACTTCTCTAATGCGTGAGGCTTGGCAAAATCCCTTTGCAGTCCTGACCGATTCAGTGTACGGCCGCTGGCTAACGGTTCTTGCTGTCTTTTGAAACTGTTATTTCATGTCGACCTGCTGCATTGCTTACTTAGGCCTCTCCCTTTGACTCTTGGCACAAAAACCTCTGTGGACGTTCAATTGAATTAGCTTTCCTAAAGGAAAATACCTCTCTCTCTCTCTCTCTCTGTTTTTTCTCCCTTTACCCTTGTCTTTCAGTTATACCTGCCGCCACTTGCGGAGATATGTCTATGTCTTGGACAAACTGTATTTCCCCCCCTCGCACTGCTCTACGCTGCAGCATTGCTTCTCGAGCCTCAGTGACAATGGAGAGGAGCTCTTGTCTTTAACTTGCTCTCACATTCTCAGAGCCTATGCTTCCAGGTTATTAACCTCTGCTCTCCCTTTACTGCATGCTGCATGCTCCGTGACTGACCTTTGCATGCTTTGAGTCAACAGATGGAAAACGTGAAAAAGGGCTACGGGGATGCTTTGTGTCTGTACGGCATCCGTGCTATGTGCCCGCAAAAATGCGGTCGAAATGGGGATTTAATAATGGGAGTTTGTTTTGATTCGGCATACTTGATTTGTCGTCAGCGACTGAGCGCAACTTCTGGAGTTAACGCGTGGCCTTTGGAAGTTTGAAATGCTTTCTGTGTCAGGATGAAAATGTGTTCGTCCTTTCGCAAAGCTGTGACATAAGAGCTGTGAGCTACGGTTCACAAAGCTTCCATACGCTTCTGCCGCCTATTTGGAATTGGTGCAGAGATATAAGTTGCCTTATGTGTCAGCTTCTAATACTTCCCTGACACCCGTTGTTTCAGTAACGCAGCGTGTATGTCACTTTTCAAGCATGGGAATGATAAAACTTTTCCCTCAAATTCAGCAAATTGTCATGGATGGCACTAGATGATAAATTAGAGAACTGCCTTTTTTCGATATGCCTTGTCGGTTCTGATTATACAGAACAATAGTGAGACTCCATCAGCGCAAAATGGCACTCTAAAATCTTTGTTCCTGATGCAGAATTATAGATGCCGTGCAGGAATTGTAAAATAGCAGGGATTTAAAAATAAATTTGACTTGTAATACCCAAACGTTTTCTCTAAGACATTTTCTCTTAAGTAAAAATGCAAGTTGAGTTATTTCACTGTTGATGCTTTGGATAATTTCATGTATTAACAAAGATGCTAGAAGTTTTAGGCAAACAAGGAAAAAAATTGCATGACAAAATTGACCAGAAGATGGAAAGCATCCAGAGTGGAAATGTAGCTTCCCAGCTAAGCCAGCATACAATAGCAACAGACCACACAGTAAACATAAGTAAAACCAGCTTGATTGTCAGGGGAAGAAAATGTGGCATGCAAGCTGGATGAGAGCTCTTTCTGTACAAAAGGAATTTTATAGTGGTGCATAATGATGGAGAGTTACACTGCAGGATCTCAACAGGAGCTGAAAATCTAGCTGTCCCAGCGGCATTCTGCAGATTAATTTGGAGCAGGGATACAGCATTAAAGCAAGCAGAACCTTAAAATTTCAAAGACGTTACTTTAAAATGAATGATAATAATAAAGACGGCAATTGACACAGAAATCGCATTTAAGATGGACTGTTATACGTGTAGGAATGATATCCTGAAAACATAAAAGAAAGGGTTTAATTATTCCAGCTTGTTTATGTATAGATTTGGTAACTCTCTCTGGAAATGCTGCAACGTCAGTTGGCAAAATCGTCCATGGGAAACTGTACGCTACTGCATGGGTATTGCGTCCTTCAGAAAGACTGAAGGTGAAACCACTAGTATGAGTGGTTTGACCTGCGTCTCGTACACGTGGTGGCAAGGAACCGCTGGAAAAAGCAACTCTTGGTCACTAGAGGAGTATTTCCTACCTGTTTCTGCAAATCCTTGCTATACCCCGTGCAACAAGGACATTTGCAGAATCCCCACTAATCGCTCTAGATTAGTTTGCTGGATTTGACGGACATCTAGGTAGCAGAAGGCACTGAGCATACACGCAATGTGGTTTTGCCAGCATACTGTAAAAACATGTAAGGAATAGAAAGACCTTGCAGTGCTCTTTTTTCAAATGCTAACGCTAAGTGATGACTGACTTTTGTAGTTGCATTTTTGAATTACTCTTTGTGGGGAGGCGGGGAAAGCTGCAGAAATTTAATTTTTTATTATTAGCACAATTTGCACAGCATCTTCCCTGCAAAATTAATACTGTTTAAAATAAATACAAATCTATGTCGGCAACTTAGAATTTTAAACAGCTTTACAATTAAGAAAAAGTGAAAATAGTGAGAAGAATAGCTTTGCTGGCTAAGTGTAGTACGTAGTAAGAATTTTTTTGCACAGATGGGGACATAATTTATTGCTATTACTCTCTGAAATGTGAGTTGTGCATCACTTGAGCTCTATTAAAATATTTCAGCCTGGGAGATTGTAAAATCTCTGGTTTTCATTAAAAGCTGTGCTTTTATGAGATAAAAGAAGGTTATTACATGCGAGGTATTTGAAATGAAAATTGCTGTACAGGAAAACATGCAGGTAGCAGTTTTTAGTAGCTGATTTTGTTTTGTTCTGGTAATATATGATGAGAGAAGTGAAACGCCTTCCGGTTCGTGTGCTCAGCAAACTTTACCTGCGTAAGTCTGTAATCAGAATCGAATACGGTGGCATAAATGGAGCTGGCGGGAGGGAGGGGAAGGTGGTTTTTGCGTGTGAACCTGTATTTCCATCCTGTATTAACTGCAGCGCTATTTCACGCCATGAGCAGCGCGCCTAGTAACATGTGCCTAGCGTTTCTCCCCTGAAAGCAGAGCGCGATTTAATTACGACGGTTTTCGAGCGACGACGCTCCCGTCGCAGGCCTCTCTGCAGGACTCCCGGGAAAGAGGCCGCTGTCCTGAGCAGCGGTCAGCAGGCCGGTCTCTTGTGCTGTCTCGGTTCTCCTGAATCCTACTCCCCTCTTTAGAGGTCCCACAGATCTTGTTGTTTTATTAGTATGTTTGTACCTGTTGCGTATAAACGCATGCATGAACAGTTGTGACTTGAAATGGTTTGGGAGGAAAAAAAAAGAGGAAAAAAAGATCACAGAATCATTTAGGTTGGAAGGGACCTCTGGAGATCATCTAGTCCAACCTCCCTGTTCAAGCAGGGTCACCTGGAGCATATTGCCCAGGATCACATCCAGACGGGTTTTGAATATCTCCAGCGAAGGAGACTCCACCACCTCTCTGGGCAACCTGTTCCAATGCTCTGTCACCCTCACAGTGAAGAAGTTTTTTCTCAGATGTTAAAGTAAAACAAAGAGGAAAGAGGAAGATCGAGAAAGCTTTGGAATGATGGTACTTGCCAAAAAGTAGTGGTTAATGACCACCTTTGTCCATTAAAGCATTTCTACAAGTATATTTATGCTGGTGGCTGAGCAGCGCTGAGCACCTTTGATTCGTGTAAGATAGCGGTGACCTGTTAAATCTACAGACCCACCTGAGGCCACACACACCGAACAACTAACGCTGGCTGAAGTGAATCGATTAAAGAAAAAAAGGAGGAGAGGGGAAGGCGAATGGCTGGGCTTGCAGTCTGTCACTGCTGCTGCCCAATAACGCTGCTGTGGCTCCGCTGTTTATTGATTGTTGTAGGAGCTCGGCCACGTGACGTGAAATATATTTTTCCCACCCTTACCGTGATGGTTTCCTGTGGAATTGCGCATTCATCGGGTGACGCTTTAATGCCCGCTTGTGACCCTTTCCTGTTTTAAACCTGTTTGGGTTCCAGTCAATCGTAGGAAATCGTTTCTGAGAAGGAAACAGGCTCAGTTCATGGACTAGCAAAAGGCAGCTAACACGCAATGATTTGTTTTGGGATGCTGAACAAATTAAGGACAGTTTTATTTTCATAGCCAGCTTGACATTGGCTGTGCGAAAGCAGGAAATATGGTTTTGCTGAGCCTGGTAAATTGAGTAAACGTGTTCATGAAGTAGTAGAACAAACGTTACATGGATTCATTTGAATTATGCTTTTTGCCCCAAGAAGAAAGGCGAAGGAACGTGATGTCATAGCTGTGCTGATCACCCATTCTGCACATCTCTTATTACTTACTAACGTCCTGTGTCGGGGTACGGATTACTGGGCCAGCCTTGTGCACGGGCAGGAAAGGTATCCAAGCGTTGTCAGCAAAAACAGCTAAAATATTTTCGAGTCTGACTCATTCTCATTTTCTTTGGCTGAAGTCGCCCGAGGGAAGGTGGGGAGAAATACAAAGCAGAGATGTTTATCGTTGAACATTAAGTGAATGTTGCGTGGATTTATGAATGGAGAAGCACACCAGTTACTTAGGATTGGTTTAGAACGGTTTTCGTCTGGGGTGAATTCTCCTTTTTCTTTGATTCTCTGCAGCGTTGTGAGCATTTTTTTGCGTTCAGTTTTTAAGCAGTTAATATAAGTCTCGCCCGAAGTTAGCACAAGTGAAATAGATTGTCAGTACATCAGCCTTAAGTAGGTAATAGCTTAGCCTGGAAAATAGAGGTACCGAGATGTTGTCTTCAAGATATCCCTCAGCCTCCTGAGACCTGATCCTTTTTCATTGCCTGTTAAAGTGCTCAAGGTTACATGTTACTTTTGAAAATAATTTGTACCACTTCTGATACTTTCCATCCGTGATATTTTAAGTAGGAAGTAGCAAATACTGATCCTTACTTCTTCTGGAGCGTAACCTGTGGGAGCTGATACTTCAGAAGCGTTCATTGTTTAGGAGAATCAAAGCTTTCTTGAGGGGAAAAAAGCAAAATGGATATTTTTAATTAACTGTAATCAGTTGCTTCCTATAGCATTACTGTTTTGTAACTCAAAATATTAAGGTGAAGCTGGATTTTTTGGTTGGTTGTTTTTTTGGAAAACTGTCTAGCAAAGGACCACGTGTGGTTTGTGTCAGTTTGGGTTCATGTCACTTTAGCGTTCTCATAAAACTTCCAGTATCGGCCGTGTTATAATATAACCCTCTAGTATGGGGGACAACATATAAACACAGAATTGAGCTGTGTTCTGCTGTAAGAGGACTGACAGAAATCAACAAGATGGGCAATATTATTTTGACTTTAATGGACATATTTAAATGGAAAGGTCTCTATTTTTTATCAGACCTTTGGTAAACCTGGCTGTTTTTGCAAACAAGCCTGCAGAATGGAACAGAGTCGGGGTAAGCAGACTTTCATCCAAAGTTATGCATGCAAACAAAAATGTTATAATAAGTGGATCTAGGCAGACTAAAGAGAACGTTTGAGATGATTTCCAAAGGTGACAAAATCTGCCTTCTGTAGGAAAATCATGCCTTAAGTGCCTATGTCCTGTTTACTCCATGGCTGAACCACTTTTGAAG